GCGCTTCAGGGGTAGGTCACCTAAGCTGTTAACTTCCCCAGTGGCTCCCAAACAGCTACACAGCCACAGCAAAGCCCTGGTGATTCCTGGTATGGGCACTGTGATGAGGAATGTCATGTACTTGTGAGTCCATGAAATAGTGCTGAGAAGGCAGCAGTGGAAATCAAGACAACTCTTGTTGCTTGATGCATAGGTCTAGAGAAACATCAGCTTTAGCTCTGCAAAATAAGGATGTGATGACTTAAAGGGATTACTTCTGTGGACTAAATTTATCCCCATGCAATTCCCTTGTCTTTGGGCATTTCATCCAGACTTCAGCATGCTACTTTTATGATTAGTGTGTCCTTGCATATCATTGGCAGGGAGAAACCTCAGACAGAAACCTTACTAGCATGGGAATGGGAGACAGCAAATGCAAGGAAATTCTGCTGAAAGTGGCTGTGCTTGGGGAGCTTGTCCCCCTCACAGGGGGACATGCCACATGCAATGACACCGTGGGCAGGAAAGCTCCTGGGCACTGGTGGGCTGAGAGTTTCTCTACCATGGGGTCTTTTTCAGGTAGTGTATTTCTCGGCCACCTATCCCTACTTCATGCTTTTCATCCTCTTATTCCGTGGAGTCACTCTGCCGGGAGCCAAGGAGGGGATCCTCTTCTACCTCACGCCTGACTTCAGAAAGCTCTCCGACTCCGAGGTTTGTAGCCTAGTGACAAAAGCTCCTATCTCCCAGTTGTCTCTGCATTAGTCTTCCAAAGGCACATCCCTTGTGTATTTTAAGTATTTAAAAAATCCTGCAATAGTTCCTCGTTCAATAGTTCACGACCCTCACAGGCTAAGACAAAGCTGCAGTGAGCTGCTGCAGGAGATGCACCTGCAGCATGGAGTCCCTTCCTCTCCTGGTTCTTTCTCCACAGGTCTGGATGGATGCAGCCACACAGATCTTCTTCTCTTATGGCCTGGGGCTGGGGTCCCTGATTGCTCTGGGGAGCTACAACACTTTCCACAACAATGTCTACAGGTCGGTTTTTTCTTTCCCAGCCTCCTGCATGGTGGGGAGTGCTCGGGGTGAGGTAGGGAGTCGTGGTGAGTCTGGGGTGTCTGACCTCCACTGTCCCCTTACTGCCAACATGCAGCCCAGGGGACACACTGTGATCTCTACAGAGGGGCTCCCCTGCCTGCAGGACATCTCATATCTCACCTGTGCTACCTCTCCAGGGCATGGACCTGCTCTCAGCAGGGCTTGGTCTTTTATTTACCCCACTCTCTGCTCTTGGCCTCTTGGTAGGGACCTGCAGGTGGTTTCTTTTCCTTCTTTCTCTCTTCCAGAGACTCCATTATTGTCTGTTGTATAAACTCCACTACAAGTGTATTTGCTGGATTTGTTATTTTCTCCATCATTGGCTTCATGTCACACATCACGAAGAAGTCAGTCTCAGAGCTGGCCTCCTCAGGTAAGCAGAAACCCAGTTCAAATGCAACAGCAACCTGTGAGAGCAATTTTTTCTGTGAGCATAGGATGCTCCCAGGCCTTTCCAGACTGGGACCCAGGTCCTCCTTGAGCACCCTCCCACCAAGATGGGTCTCAGGCACCTGTGTCTGATGTTGGTCACACTCTGGCTGCAAGGGGCATCTCTGTCTGCTTTTAGTGTTCTTCTCCTCTTAGTGCTGAACTTTCATGTGATTTTGCTGTAAGGAAATATTTAGGCTGTTTGCTGTCTGAAACCTTCCTGTAGGGAATAGATACTACCTATGTTTTCAGTAGACATGATGAAAATTTGGAGTCCCTTTTTCATGCGCAATCTTGAAATTGATCTCAGAATAATTTTTTAACCAAGATGGGACTGTGTCTTTTTGCGCAAAGACATATTTTGAAATTGCTGTCTTCCCAGAGAAAGCTTTTATCTCAAGAAACAGCATTTTGTGATGGAAAAAAAAAAAGCACTTGGAAAGTTATAACCAGCTCTTATTTTTGTAGCAAATGCTCCAGCTCCACTTGGTTGCAATAACTTGATGACCTTCTTGCTTGCAGGACTTGTTTTTCCAGTCATTCCTGCCTCCCCATCCTACCCCTGTGCACTCCACTGGGTTGGTGTGTCACAGACAAAAGCTCAGGTGTTCCTAGCTCCTACATCCAATACCCACAAGTCTTGGCTGGGATTGTCATCTCTCTGTTCAGCTATGGCCCTTAGCTCAGACTTCCCATCAAATGCTTTATAAACATGGTCTCACCCCTCTTTTCATTACCACAGGCCCTGGACTGGCTTTCCTCGCCTACCCACAGGTTGTCACACAGCTGCCCCTGTCCCCTCTCTGGTCAGTCCTCTTCTTCTCCATGCTGATGATGTTGGGTCTGGATAGTCAGGTGAGACAACCCAGGCACAAGATGGGGTAAGATACAAAAATATCTTCAGATATGATGGTGGTATCCCCTCCTGCACCTCTGGACAGTGCTGAGCAGGGTGGTTTTTTAACTCTTAGTGGTGAAATGCAGCTTCATGAAACAAAACCTCCTATGTGGACATCGCCTTTATGCACTTCCCTCATACAGGCATATACTGCAAGTGTGATGGGATCTGACAACTTCCCAATGCACCAGTCCTTGTCCTACTGCCCATTAAAAATAAGAGCAATGACCAGCTTCCAGCAGCCCAGCAGAATCAGTCAACCCTATAAGATATCCACCACTTCCCTGTAGAAGGAGAGGATCTTTGGCAAGCTTTTCTCCATTCACACCAATTTTTGACCCTGTGGCCAAGTACCGGTGCTGCTGAATGCACACAGCCTGTCCCCACCTTGCTGGGTCACCCTGGCAGCTGAACCTCACAGGTTCTAAGCAGAGCTAGTGGGAAACCAGTCCTGCCAAAATACTTTGCATCACGGGAAAAGGGAAAAAAGATTTCTTTCAAGTAATAAGTGCTTTGTTCTTGTAGGACATGACTCCCCCCACTCCCAATATAGGTACATGAAATAAGGGAAATCAGTATGAACTATTTCATTTCATGCCTGCATGGTGGTAGTCTGTGGTCATCTCAGCTCTCTCAGTGTTCTGTGAGAAGCTTGGATGCTTGGAATTTTCTGTCACCTTGACCAAACTGCATTTCCTGTGAGGCAAGAGAATGTCATTACTTCAGCTTTTCTTCACAGCTTAGGGTAGAAGGTCTCCATGTTCCCAGGAGCCAGAATCTTTGCACAAGGTACTGGTGTCCAGCCAGACCCAGTGCTCTGGTGCAGCATCGACAGGTTCTGCTGAGAAAAGCAGTGATGCAGGGTTTGAACTGGGCCTCCCTCCGAGTGTGAAGACAGTGGTTTGGTGCAGTGTTTTGGCATTGGTGCTGAGCAGAGCTGCAGCTCCCTGGTTTGTAGGTGAGCAGGAATAGATTCTGGCAGAAGGAAGGAATCATGCCTTGGGAAAGGCTGGTGCCTGGGTACCTGGATAGCTTTGCCATCAGGTGAGGCTTACTTGAGGGGGAAGCAGCTGGATGTAGCAAAAGGTCTCTACCCTGCCCCCTCAGAGCCCTCACAAAACAAACAAAAAAACCCACTATCTCTGTGTTTTTACAAGTGGTGATACTTTTTTCTGATAATTCAGCTTAAAAGTAGCTACCCAGGGAAGCAGTGAACTGCAGCGTGCCTCCCTAATCAGTGCATCAAAATCAAAGGCTCCTGCAAAAGCCTGCACCTGGCCTGTCCCATCCTCCCTTGTGCCCACGTGCTCTTCCCTTGCAGCACAAAGCACCAGTACAAAATGGATGCTCTCCTGGATTACAAGTAGCGTTCACAAACCCAAGCCTAGTTCACAATCAGACTCAGACCTATTCCTGAAATGTCACACCTGGTTTCCAGGAAAATCTAATCAACCAAATCTGGTTTTCAGTGATGGCACACTCTCATAAACACATTATAAAGCTCATGTCTGCATTACTACAGACATTATTTAGCAAAAAAGAAATGCAAATAAGAACTAAATGTTCTGAAAGAAGCTACACTTACAGAAAAAAAAAATTATCTCCATGGATTATTCACTCAGAGCCGGTAAATAGTTCAAGGCATGACAATAAGCCCTCTAAGCATTCTGTGGAATTTATTTGCTGCATTTACTTCTGAAATACCCCTTGAAATTCTCCATGTCCCTTCTGACAGCCAGTCCCAGAGGGCAGTCTGTGGGGGGCTATCATTGCCTGAAGGAGAAGGCTGGGCAGAAACGAAGCATCAAAAGGAAAATAAGCTCTTAAAAAGCACAGCTAAATACACGTGAAATAGCTTTCTGTCTGCATGCTGGAGCTCTGATTCATTCAAACACACCAGCAAAGGCATGGCAGCTTGTGCATATAAAACAAGTAACACAGGCTGCAACAATGCCTGCAATTCCACGTGCATTTTGAAGCATTCATCTAAAAAAAAACAAGAGAAGGGGGGAAAAAAAAAAGAAAAAGATGGTTTTGCTATGTGCTGATTTCATATCCTTTGTGGTATTTGCAGATGGGGAGCAGGCATTTTTCATTTGGGTCAGCAGCCCAGTCCGTGAGGCGCAGCGGGGCCATAGGGCACTTCTTGCACCCTGCACCCCCAGGGCTGCTGGGCTGAGGCTGCCCCTTGTCACCGGCAGGGCACGGCTCTGTAGGCACAGCAGAGACGCTCAGAAGCCCAGCTAGTGAAGGGAGGCCGGGCTGAGATCTGTGTTTGCGATGCAGCAACAAGCTCCAGCCCTTTAATGAAGGTGGGAGTAGGTCCGGCCGAGTCACATCAGCCTCTTTCTGCCAGGGTGCTCATCTCATCTACAGGTCCTTGAATGGGATGAATGACCTACATTGATGGACACACACCTCCCTCCTGTGCCCCCACTTGCTGCTCTCTGGTGTGCCTTAATGTTCATTCTGCTCTCATCCATCGGACTCTTGCATCTAGACCCTCTTGTGTAATATGCTAATGCTTTCTTTTAACCTACCAGTTTCCAGGTCAGGCATTCATTCCTCAGGGGAGCTTGCAGGCCTTGTGACTGCAAGCCTGCGTCTGTCCCATGTGAGGCCTCCTCTCACGGGTTATTCATGAGGATTTCCAGCTGCCAGCAGTGAGACCGCTCGTGGATCTCTGGCTGCACATCTGTGGTCAAACTCCCCACGCGTCCGTGGGTCCCAGTCAGGGTGCTCTGTGTGGCCGAGGAGGGAATAGCAAGCCCTTGACACTGGGAGAGGGTGGGAGAGGGACTCTTCTACAGGCTGAGGTGCCACCTATATTGACTCCCAAATCCAGGTTATCAAATCCATTATCCTTATGTAATGATTAAGCCTTGAAGGGGAAAAAGAGCGAAAGAACTAGGTTAATGGCAATAAAATGCTTAGGAAAGAGACAATATCATGGGGTGAGGCATGAGGAAGAACAGAATATATGCTAAAAATTGTATCTGGAGGAAGTTGGTGGGAAAAGCGGAGTTTTTTGGAAAGCAGACTGAAGTGGCAAGGACAGGAGGCACCCCAACGCCCAGAGCCTCACCAATCCTGAAAGCAGCATGCTTTCACTCAGATGAAATGCCTACTTATCTCGTGTGAGGAGCTAAGGTTTGGTATGTAGGCCTGGAAAAGTGGATCCCAGGCCAGCCAGGGAGCCACAGCCCACAGGGATGGAAAGATGAGCCTCCTCCAGGCTGCATCCCTTCTGAAACCTGAGGCTGGCATGAGGCAGTTTTCAGTAAATGATATGAAGGTCGTTGCCTGTTTTATGGCTAGAAAGAGTAGTGTACCACCATTTGTTTCACCACCTTGTCCATTACACAGCAGCTTGATTTTGATAGGAGACAAAGAGATTTCAACTCACTTTGTAACTCTGTTTCTCATCACCCATCTCCCTGTATTTCCCTCTATGCTTTCCTTGACGTGATCCTTCCTGCACCAAAGGGCTGTCAGTTTTACTCCATCCCATTTGGCATCATTTTCTTCACTCCTTCTCTGCTGGACACCACCCTCTGCCCCTGACCACCCTGACCCCCCTCCAAATCCATTTCCCTCTCTGGTCTCGGATCTCCTGGCCCTGCCCATGGCTCCGGCCTGGGTATGCATCCACGTGGAAAGAATAGCTTTAGACAGTGTTTTTTTTGTCATGCTATCTCTTCACACTGTGGTGCCAGCTCAGTCCTGACTCTTCCAGACAACAAGCCAGGTGGGATGGGGTGAAGAGCTCGCTGTCTATGAGTATAAAGGCAGCTTAACCCATGCGTGAACGGCAAAAGATGCTTTAATGGTACTCGTGTCCAACATAAAAGGCTTAGCTCATTAAACATTCAAGCTGAAGCCGTTGAGCTTTGACGCTTTGGCAATACTGGTTTTCCGTGAGGATATAAAACCCTGGGCAGACACATCGCCCTTTGCCTTGCTCTGGCCCACGTGGAATCCAGCCCCAGCAGCCAGCAGTGTGCAAGCTCTTCCAACATCCCTGCCCAGCTATGGGCATGGCTCAGGCTCCCTGCTATTCTTCCATACATCTTTCCAGCCCTCTGCTGCTTTTTTTAGTCCGTATACCTCCACCTCCACTCTGGGGGTTTTTTTCTTCCCAGGGACAGGGAGGTCCCTGACTCCCAAGAGCAATGAAACCTCTTTCACTTTCATTGCATGTGCTTTTACATTTGCTCAGAGTGACCAGAGAAGCCAGGAATTTGCTGCTCTCATTAATTCCCAGGATTTCTGCTAGAGGCATGATGTGCTCTCTTAGAACTGTATGTTACCTGTAGTTTCTGGGAGCGAGATGTGAATCTCACAATTTATCAGGAAATAGGAGGAAAGGATGCACTTCACATATATATGGTCAAACTGTCCTCACGCCAGAAGGCAGGACTAGCAGGAAAACTGATTTGAAGGTAACACAAGGAATGTATTGTGATGCACACAACATATACTGTGCCTTGTGTAGTGCTTCCCGAGCCATCCAGGTGTTTCCATCTCTAGAAAGATGATGTGCTGTGAGGATGGGCTTTCGATGTGCCACATGCATTTAATGTAGTGTGCTTGAAAAAGGACCGGGTAGTCAGAGATGTCGTAGTTATTCACACGCACATGAGACTGGGCAGTGGGTAATGCAGCTCCTTATTGAGTGTTTTAGATCACTGAACAGCACAAGTGTTCTCTCGTGTGTTCCCATAGGCTGGGAAGAGCATACATGGGAAGGGAAGAGCAAGCAAGGTCCAGCATGTGTCTCAGACACACAGCTGTGACACAGAGCCTGGCAGCGTGGGGGAGCAGGGCAGTGGGGGGGAGGCCCCAGAGAGTTTGCTGGAAGAAAGGAGAGGTTTTTCACAGGAGCAAAAGACAGGGATTTATCTCAGCTATTTTTAAGTATTTAACTTCAATGCTTTTAGCTCTGTCTGTATTCAGTGAGAGTCTGCAGAGAGTTCTTAAATCAATGAGGTTCTCAGCATTGAAATTAAATGTGGGTGGGAGTGATGTCAGGCTACTTATGTATATGTCCTTGGTGTATACCTTTTCTCATAGTTCTGCACGGTGGAAGGGTTCATTACAGCCCTGGTGGATGAGTATCCTCATCTCCTAAGAGCCAGGAAGAAGATCTTCATCGCAGTGGTCTGTTTCATCTCTTATCTCATTGGATTCTCCAACATCACCCAGGTACAGACAGCCGGGCTTGTGCCTCCATTCATGACACCTTTCTAGTCACTTTGGTGTAGCACAGCAATACCAAAAACTTTGGAAGAAGTGACAGTATTTCTCCTAATGCTGAATAAAAGGGTTTACTCATCACTGCTACATCTCAAGTTACTTAGGATGCCTCCATAATTTTTTACCATTATCCTGTTGTCAGTCTGTCTTGGTATTTTGCTATTTGCAATAAGGGCTCAAGCCAACAGAGCTCAAGCTGGGGGAGTGCTTGCTGCAAAGGGTTAAGATAACATAAAGAAAACCAGTCTGCTGGGGCCCTGAACTTCTGGGGCTGAAGCCAAGGTTCGCATGAGGGACGGTGAGGGCTGAGTGATCTGGAGACCATTTGTGGAGCACCGAAGGTTCACGAGGAGGCAAGGCAAAACTCCTGGGAAGGGCAGAGCAGACTAAATTCAGTGACTCCATCTAAAGCAGAGAAATGTAAGAGATCCTAGTGAATTACTGGTTTTCTTCTCACCCTTGGCTATGCCTGAACATTGGCTAATTGTCTGCAAGAGCACATCAGTTTTGCTGCTGGGAACCAGACTCCAGTAGAAACATTGCAACACTGGCTCTACTGTCCAAGGAAATTAGCATTAAAGCCAACAGACACAGACAGTAGCAATCAAAGCTGCTGGCTGATATTGTCGACCAAAATCTATAACTCCTTAACCCTGGTTTTGTCTCTTCAGGGTGGCATTTATGTCTTCAAGCTGTTTGATTACTACTCAGCCAGTGGCATGTGTCTTCTCTTTCTTGTCTTCTTTGAGACCATTTCAATCTCTTGGTGTTATGGTAAGCACAGAACACCTCATTCCTTTGTTTCCTCCATGGGCACGGTGAGTTGTTTCAAAAGCCTCCCACAGTGAAGCCAATGACAATTTTGCAACTGAAAATAGCTTAGACTGATATCCCCAGAAAATCAGGAGTGGAAGGCTGTCATCTCACTTCTCCAGCCCATCACAAAGACCTCTGCACAAACTGACAGACGCCTAGGGTACTTCGCTCTGGGCCTTCAAGGGATCACCAGGAACATGGCAGCTGTTAGCAGGAATTTGGTTTTGTGTCCCAGTACCCCATCCCCTCCAGAAAATGCGTCTCTCATGGCTCTTGCTGTGACTGGCCTGTGCTGTGTCATGAGAAGATGTGTTGACCATGGTGCTGAGATGGGATGTTTTTTTCAATGCTCATTTTTCTTGTAGGTGTGAACAGGTTTTACAGGAACATCGAAGAAATGATTGGCTACAAGCCTTGCATCTGGTGGAAGATCTGTTGGGCCTTCTTCACACCTCTTGTCTGCCTGGTAAGACCTGGGGCATCCTATCTGCAGGTGTGGGTCAGGAAGGGCCCCTCAGTTTGGATGGACTGTAGGGGAAACACTATATTCTCCACCCAGTATAGGGCTGGTGCAAGGTGGTCCCAGGCAGACTTGAGATGGGCAAAGTGATACAGGAGCCTCTTTTACTCTGCCTGGTAGAAATCACCCATAAGAAAAGTTCTAGGTGATTGTTTTAATCTAAATGAGGTCATCAGTTCTTCATTCTTCTTTCTGAGATGCCAGAAGATAAGCAAAAAAATTTACTGTTTTAAAAAGCTATTATTGGTTCTGGTGAAGGCTCTTAGCTACTCTAGCTCCAGCTTCAGCCCCTGACAGGCTTGTCAGAGCAAAAGCTATCAGCAAATGCAGGATAATTGACTGTAGAGCAATTTGGCCTTTGATGATTCTTGCCCTTCCAGTAGAAGTAGTACAGGGAATAGCAGGAAAAGGCCAGTGACAGGAAGATGAAGACTCCTGAGGCCAGCTGTGAGGATGCTATTAACTTGCTTAGGAACTAATGTGGGGGCACTGCTTGTCTAAGTAGCCTAGTGAAGAAGAAAATCAGGGGTATTCCAGTTCCAGCTTTCTACATGGGATAAGGAGAATTTATTTCAGATTACCAGTTGATGGGGTGAAAGACTCTAGACTACTTTAAAGAGTTGTTCGATTGCTCTAAGACTGTTGGGAGCTAAGAGGATAATGAAGGAAAGAATGGATGGACTCTGATTTTGCATGCCTTCACCTGCATTGGCTGGTGCTCTTTTCCCAGGGTGTGTTCTTCTTCAGTGTGGTGGAAATGACCCCTCTGACATTGGGAAAATACGTCTATCCTGCATGGGGACAAGGCCTTGGTTGGCTTATGGCTCTGTCCTCCATGGTACTGATTCCAGGATACATGCTGTACTCTTTCTTCACCTCAAAGGGGACTCTCCGGCAGGTATGAACAGCTTTACCACTCCTCTCTGCTCAGGGTAGGCGTGTCTGGCTGTGGCTGGCCCTTTAGGCAGACCTTCAGGTAGTCTACACTTCGGTCCGTTGTTCCTCAATGAGATTTGTGTTGTCACCATCACAAAAAGGGAGCCCTCGCCCCTGGAATATCCCTTTGGTGCAGGTGACTGGAGCCCTGGGAGAGACTGGGAAGAAATCTTTGAGGTTTCATAACCCAGAGGAATCCAAATTCCTGACGGTCCCCGGCTATGAGCATGGTTACTTGGCAATTCTCAGCAGAGAGATCAGCATCCTCCAAGCATGGATCTTGAAGTGTCTCGGGCTGGGACCTGCTACCAACAGAGACAAGCACAGTCGTAGTTTGCCATGCGCTTTGCAAAGTGCACTGAGTGACTGAGGGGTTAAGAAGCAAGGGAGACTTTTATGCAGGACCCACAATACCCACTAGTCTTGTTTAAAACGTTTTCTTTAGTAATTTGAGCAGGGTTTTATGTAGCAGTGAATCATGAGTCTGTATGTCATACCTAGTACTTACTGTTAAGATTTTATTTACGGTGTTGACATTCGGTCTTGAGAGCACTGTGCAAAAAGTCCCCGGCTTGGTGCTGTCTGCTGCAAACTACAGATGTAAGAAGTCACCCCAGGGGTGCTCATTTATGGCTTTCCCAGCCCAGCTGCAATAGCAACCAGACGCCATCTAAATCCCATGAGTTTACTTCATGGATGCTGTATTTTGAACAATGTTCAACTCAGAAAGGTTTTGCCTGGAATTACTGGGCTTAGGTCAACTTCATGCTCTCTACCTCTGAGGTCAAGTTGCAGGGTTTGAGTTTTCTTCCTGCCAGCCTTCCATTTGGATGTGCTCTAATGTGGGAACTGAGTGAGTCTGGGGTCTCAGGTCTCCTTTCAGTTCTGGTCTCTCATCCGAAGGTGGGTTTAGGTACTTGTCATTGGTGTTGAGATCCACCTTAGCATTCCTGCAGGACTCAAGCCAGGGTGTTGTCAAGCCACTTTGGCGATTTTGGGTTGAAGGCCAGCAGCAATTCCAGCAGTAGCTCCTTTCTCAGACATTTAGAGGGTTCCTTATTCCCTCATTATATGAGCTGGAAAAGGGGAGAAGAGAAGCCCGAAAGTACAGATATGAGTTCAACCCTTTGCCTAGTCTCAGTCCCGTTATACTAGAGATGGAGGAAGCACATCCCGGCATCTGGGGGAGCCCAGGCTGGCCTGTGGTCTCCCAGGAGTAGCTCAACTCCTTCTGACAAAGGGCTTGTGCTAATTATATACATAGCAAGAGTGGCAACACCAGCACTTCCAAAGTACTGGGGGCTCCTGTGTTGCCCCAGGGCATGGAGAGCAGCTCATGAGCACGTTTCCACCCATCCCCTCTGCATCTTGTACAAACCAGCAGTACCAGTAAGCAGCGTGAGTGGCTGATGTGTACCCTCCCTGTCTGGCTCTTCCTCTAACATTGCCCCCACACATCACAAGACCCAGACCCCTCTCAATTGTTCATAGACCCAGGAGTGAGCAGCAGATGGCACCAGGAAGAAAGTAGGCTAATCTGTGTGTGCGTGTGTTGGTATCAGAGAGACAGAGAGAATTTTTGGCCTCTTATATGCACAGATCCTGGATTAATTTGTAATAGAGCTGGAGCTGGAGGGAAATTAGATGCCAATCCTGAATAAAGTGGTTTTGACAGACAGGAAAGATTACAAGTCATTTTGATTCTACTGAACATGCATGTGAGAGGGAAAAAAGAAAAGACCATGAATGGTAGAAGCAACTCAGTGAACATTTCAGGGACTACACCCAGCAACAGCTACTTCAGTAGGAGCTTGTTTCTCTTGCTGAAAAGAGGTTCTACCTGTCTTAGTGATGTCTGTTCAGGTCAGGCTCCCTGCTTCTCTTCTGCAGTGCACAGCATCAGTCTCTCCCTGACCGGTAAAAGTGATTCATTGTTCTTCATCACTCCTGATGCTCAGTCCACATGCCTCCAGCAATGACTTGCCCCTCCATATTTTCCTGGGTTCTTTGCTTCACATTACTTGACTCTGCACTTTTCATTTGGTCAGCTCAAGGTGACAGGAGTTGCTGCTGTGCAAAGGTTTGTTCAGGGGGATGGTCTCATCTACATTAAAGGCACAGACCATAACCTTGTTACCCTGGTGTAGTTACTTAGTAATGCTTTGTAATCAACAGTAGTCGGAAAATGGGTCTACTCTGAAGCCTGTGACAGGGCAACTCTCTCTTGTTCCTCCTTGCAGCTGGTCTTGTCTGGTAACAGTTTGCCTGTGTTATCAGGATGATCCCTATATTTCACATAAAAGGAGGAGCTGCTGTGCTGTGTGTGGCACCAAAGCAAAGGTGACTTGCAGAGGTTTTTGGATTCAATGAGTGGTGCTGGGGGAGCCACTTCTGCTGCGTGCGCCATCCCCTCACCCTGTAACTAGGGTCACTTCTGAGGCTTGGGGTGAGGTGTCCCAACCCTCAGCTGCTGCCATGCCCCGGTTATCCCACTGCCGCCGCCCCCAAACCCTGGCTGACACTTTCTCCCTTTATCCCTGGGCAGCGTTTGCAGCAGATGACACAGCCCAAAGCAGAGGTGCACGTGCAGAACAACGGCCTCCAGCCAAAGACGTCCTTGAATGGGAGGATCTCAGATGCCACCGTCTAGGAGGAAAACCTGAACATCCTCACCCTGTCCCGTAGCTGCTCGCTCCACACTGTCCCTCGAGCTCCTCCGGCACAGCTTCATGTCCCTGGCTCCATGATGGCTTTCACTTGTTGAAGAGAGGACCTGGCGGAGGAACCTGCTTGTGTCCCTCCTGGCCTGGCTTAACCAAGGCCCTGAACAAGCTGTCACTGGGGTGTTGTGCAGTGACCGTCTTCATCCTGCAACATCCTGGTCCAGGCTCTCAGGGAGGAGCAGCCGGTGCCCATGCCTTCCTCCTCCCGAGCAGAGGTGATGTCTCTAGAGAGCTTAGACTGACTGTTGTCCACTTCTTTGCTTTTCTTGCCTTTCCGTGTGAAACTCTGCAGAGCATCCCCTCGCACACAGCTGTGCTTTCACCCCACAGATCTTGCTGACGTTGGGTTCAAATCACAGGTGGCTGTTGATTTATGGAGCATAAACCAACACTAACAAATAACTGGAGAGGACGTGCAGAACAAAGGATACTAGTGCAGAATGAGGGATTCTAGTGAGGAGTCCAGCATGCTGGTAGCTGTAGGACACCACCCCAAAACTGGAGAAGGGCTTAAGGACAATGTGTGCTGCTCACAGGTGCCAGGTGTCAGCCCTGCACAGTCTCCAGCTGTGTTCCCTGCATCCATTGGGGCTGGCCCTGTGAGTCAAAGCCCTGCAGAGCAGGCAGCCTTTCTCTTCTGGAGCATCCTGCCCTCTGCAGCTCTGTGTAGTAGCTAGTCCCTCACCCTAAAATGCAGTTACAAGGGTAAGTGAAGGGCTCTTTGCTAGAGGCTGTCCGAATCTCCTACATGACCACTCTCTGCTACAACCAGCTTTGTGCAGAGGCAAGAGGTCCACCATGTGATAGAGAGATTTTCCAGCACTCCCCCCAGCCAATCTCCCACCAACTGGAAAAAGGTAGTTCCTGCCAAACACCCACCCTGGCTGCATCCCTGGGTGGGAAATAATAAGGTGCAGCATAGTGCCCATGGATGGTTTAGTTTACACCTTTTCTGTGAAGTGGCAACACCTAAATCCCAGGAGCTTCTGAGGCACTTGGTAGGATGTAGCCCCCATGCTTAAACTCACCCCTGTGAACCAGTGCTGTTGACCTTTGGGAAGTATCTGTACAGCCTGCTGCTGGCATTGGCACATCCCAACTCCCAACACACACCACAGGAGACAGTGAGCTGGTGTAGATGATGCTGGAGGAGGGTAACACCACAGAGAAGGCTGGGAAGTATTTCAGAGCAGTTCTAAAGCAGCAACATATTTCTTGGTTATAAAACCTTGTGAAATGAAGTGTCTCATCGTAGCACCATGTGTAGATGTGACAGTGATGTTCCCATTTGTGCCAGCTGCCCAATGACCCCATGCAGGGATAACTGTGTACTCAGAGCATTTGAAGAGCACCCACCACACATGTGCACACGTGGTGTGACAGTGCAGATTAGTCTCTCCCCACCCATAACACAGCACTGGCACTGCTCACACTTCAGGTTCAGCTCAGAATCAACAAACTCATCAATGAGCATCCAAGAAAAGGTATGTCCACCCACACTTCCTACCAAAGGGTCTGGTCTCATAAGTGACACAGTGCAGTCCCCTCGAGGTCCCACCTCAGGCACCAACTGAGTGATGAGCTTTTGCACAGTTGTCCTGCACTCCAACAGCAGCTGCAAAATGCTGCATGTTGGCCCTGTGCTGCCTGCCCCTGGCACCTGCCAGTGCACGGGGCCAACCTGCTCTTCTGCCGGTCCTCCAGCCTGAGGATCAGTAACAGGAGGAGGAAAGAAGTTTTCTGGTTAAAGCTGAAGTCAGTCATCTTTGGGGGTGGGTCCCCTGCCAACTTGCCAATGCATCTCAATTAATGTTGTTTCAGATGTGTAACCCATTTTTGTTTGTACACGTGGCTCTTAGTGGCTGTGGCTGCCAGGCCTTCAGTGTGTGTTTTGTGGTCTCCAACACCCCGAGCTGGGATCACGCCCTGTTCCACGTCTGATCAGTCGGGTGTTTGCGTCAAAACAATCACAGCTGTTAAACAGACATGAGGAAACACTGAATTTACAGGTTTGATCTCGTAAAGCCGAAAGCAAACACTGAGAGCTGCAATCATAGCTCGTCACAATTAATCTCAGCCCGTCACAGTCATGTCATCTTTCCTTGTCCCTTATTTGTCTGCGCTAGTACAGCTGAAAATTTCTATTCCAATTTCACCTACTTTTATGAACCGGGGCAATAAAGGAAACCACTCTTTATAAGCAGAGGGACATCTGTGTTGAAAATAAATGTTAAACCTCTGATCTTTGCAGTAACGACCTTTACTAGACACCTACTTTTGCCTGTACATTCAGGTCACATAACCTCCCTCCCCTCAAATGCAGACTGAGGGTTGCATAGGCAGGTGATGGACAGAGGAGTCAGTTCTTGAGAGAGGCCTTGAAATCACGGAAGATCTTGTTTTTTTCCAACTTCATTGGGGCAGCTCAGGTCTGAGGCAGAACAAAATCAGTGTCAGGGGTAATTTTTTAAACACTTAGCCAAAGAGCTTAATTGCTGTCAGAGCTGTTCAAAGGTTGTTCCTCTGAGGGAGTGGAGAAGGAAGGGTCAAGAAAACGAACTCCTTTTCCTGGTGGTTGAGAAAATCTCTAACCCCGCAGTTCCTGTTTGCTAGGATTTTAGCCCCAGCATCTCTCACTTGTGGTCTTGCCTGTGGCACATCATTCCAGGTGTAGCAGGAGGGGCTGCGCTGTGCATGGACTGCTCATAATAACAATATTTGTTGAGATTTAACCATTTGTTCAGTTTTCTGCCTGGGACCTTCTCCTTTGCTCTCCCTCTTGCACTTCTCTGTTTTGTTTTCTTTTCTCACTTCTTCCCCACTATCATCCATCCAGTGGAAATAATCTTGCTTCTTCCTGCTTTTTCAGTTCCACTACTGTAAAATTACAGCTCTCCCTCCTTTCTCTTCTCCTTTCTGTTCTTTCCTCATTTCTATCTCTTTCTGTTAACACCAGCCTCTCTTCCCTGTTTCTCTCATGTGCTCTCATTCCAGCCTTGTTACTCATTCCTGTGTGCCTGTGGCTCAGCTGGTCACTGTGTGCATGCTCGACCCTTCTGCCCATTGAAAACTGGAGTTCAGAACCCTATGGAGGAGCTCACCTTTTTGCACCATCCAGTCCCTAAGAAGCAATTTCTACCCCAATATCAAAATTGTAATGAAGTTCCAGCTACCTTTTCCTCCTCTTTTCACCAGAAAGCGCTGTGCCAAGCAATGCTATCTCTCAGTATTACTAGAAAGACATTGTGACCCACATTCCATCAGTCCACAGAGCTGTGCCTGTTCTGAAAGATTTTGTGGCCTTTCCTGGTTTTGCACGATTTTATTTCCACCATGAATCCTTGGATCTGTGAAGTTTGGCATGTGTAACTTTGCAGATAGGAATCTGTCCTTAGTCAAGCTCTGGTTAACTGATCCCCTTCTCCAGCATTTCAAACTCATCTCATCCTTAGTGCTAGAAGAGCCTTCCCACCTCCCTCACAGACAGGTTTCCCATCTAGTGAGAGGTCAGGGATGGTGATGGCTCCCCTTGAGCTCATCCCACACCTCTGAAATGCCACTATGGCCAGGTCCAGCAAAGCAGCCATATCTGCACGTTGTCTTTTTTGACACCAGGCTTTGGATACTGATTGCTCCATGCCAGTGACTCCTCTGTAAGAACTGCTTTTGTGCTGTTCCCACGGCGTGTCACTTCTGCTGACCACCCCTCTGCTCCTCACTCCTTTAGACTCACCCAGAAGAGAGGATGTATACATAGCCAGGAGGTGGGATGCTCCCCTCTCCCCTTTGCTGTGGTTCAAATGGCAACTTTGCTCCCCTGTGCTCATATAGAGAATTCCTGCATTTTGTTTGCCTCCTCACCTCCCCAGCACCTGCCAGCCTCTCCCTCCCACCACGGGCAGCTGCTTGAAATAATCCTCTGTGAAACCTCTTAATTCTAAGGAGCTATTTAGGGAGCTGTGCTCAAATCCCTCTGAAATCCTCTTTTTCCTGAGGGCTGCAAAATACAAAATAAATGCCACTGCCCCTCTGCTGCAGTGGGGGCTGAGGTGGGCCATGGGAAGGCAGGATTGTTTCATTGCTGCTCACGTGCTGCTTCCCCTGGAGATCCAGATGCGATCCTCTCCCCTGAGAGAGGGGAGCTCTTCCTGCTGCCATTCTCCCAGATGTGCTCCAAGAGCTGGCAGCTGGCAGCTGGTTGTAAAACACGTGTGCAATGTCTGTGACATGATCCTGATGCCATGTCAGGCTGCACTGTAAGGCTTCGGCCAGCTGACCACCGTGTAGACTGTAGTCTCTCCACAGCTCTGTTAAATGATGTGTTGAGCACAGTTGTGCTGAGCATCAGGGGGTGCCCTTAAAGCAGGTGTCATTCTGGATGAGCAACTTGTCCTTATCCCTCATCTCTCCCAGGGGGAGTCTCTCGGGATTGGAGGATCCTGGTTGCATTTGGTGATGGCCAAATGGGGAGGGGGTCTGCACCACCAAGAGGCATGTCCACTGTGGTTTTGCTTGTACTGAGGGCTACCAGTTTGCACCAAGCACTGCCTGCTTTTCTCAGGACCTTGAGCACATTAGACATGGTGCTCAGCACTGGACGTCAGTACTGGCACTGGATGTCAGTACTGGCACTGGAGGACACATGGTGCATCTGTACAACTTGGCCTTCGTCTCCTGATGTCTGATCCTGCCTCTGTACAACTCCAGATATTGGTCAGAGTCTACCTGAGCAGCTCAAGGTAGGAAGAAAGAGCCTGGAGATTCTGAAACCTACCGATGACACCTGGGAGCTTTCAAAAATATGTGCAAGGACCATTCTGATCATTTCACCCCTCAAAGCCCTTGAAAAGGCAAGAGAAGATGTGTCAAGGGAGGGTTGAAAGGGGGTACCAGGGGGCTGGCTACCATCTCCCCTCCACCTCCTTGGCCACTGCAGCAGTCCTTGGTTCAGGTACCTGTCACTTCTTCCTCCCTTCTCTGCTTTGCATCCTCTTGCTTACGTGCCTCACCTTCTCTCTTCAGGAGGAGGCTTGCCTGCCCATGCCAGTTTTCTCTCCTCCTTAGCCCTGCTTTGCACCTGTCAGCCCCGAATTGCTGGACAGACGTGCCTGTGGCTGGGCCAGGGGGTGGCCAGAGCGGGCAGTCTGGCAGGGAGGGGTGGGGCAGGCTCTGCACAGAGACTGGGACACTGGGGCCTTTCCTGCTCACGCAGTCACCCCTGTGCAGCTCCATGGCTCCTTCCTTCACCAGAGCTTCTCACTGCCTCTGCTATCAGCGCTCCTTCCTGGCTTGGGAATCCAGTGCTGTTTTATGGACATCTAACAGGGATGTCAGAGATTTTACTCTCCCCTACTGACAGCCCTCCACAAATTCACAGGAGGCAAGTAACAAGGTACCAAGGGCACTGTGAAAGCAAAAGCCACAGTGCTGCACACTCCAAGCATTTTAAGATCCTTCCTCCACTTTCTGCGTCTTTAATAGTATGTTAAAATGGTGTTTGTCATCAGAGGTCCAGGCAGGCGTTGGGCCTGCTCAGAGCTGCAGGGCAGCAGTGATGTTACCACCCCGGCCCTCAGGGTTTGTTCTCCCCATCAGGAGCAACCTCCAGGACTGGTGTCCCCTCCTCCAGCACATCAAGTGTGTACCCAGTGTGTGTCCCTGTGTGTCCTCTCTTGTGCCCCAGGGATGTGTGTCAGGAGGGCTTCCTGGGGGACTGTGTGGTGTTTCCCCTGGCTTTAGTGCTTGCCCTGGCACATCCCATGGGACTGAGACCCACGTGCAGCTGTTAACCACTGGATAAAGGGTTTTGAGTCACAGCACAATGCCCATGGGGGAGACCCAGGAGGTGGTCCTGGAGAGACCCTGGCAAGTGGCAGGGGGATGGGGTGGCATCCCAGTGTCCCCATTACAGCCCTGGCTGAGGCAGCACTGCCAAGGGCAGTGTGGGCTCCTGCCAAGCATGTGTCCATCATTCCTGTGATGCTGTCAGCTGGGAAGTGTCTGTGTCTGGAGATGCTCAGGAGAGGTTAGTGCTCGCCACGCCAATACCTGACAGCCGTGACACTCATAGAGATGCCTCCTGACAGCCTGGCATGATGCCACTGTGCTGCCAAGAAAACAGCACCAGCATTCACCAGGATCTCAGGAACCAGCCACGGGCTCTCATGGGGTTCCATGTGTACCCAGCACAGTTCCTGGGGACTGGCAGCCCTCACCCCCACAGCTGCAGCCCTGTGAGGAGTAGCCATGGAGGGATTTATCCTGACCATACTCCTGACAGCACTGCAGCTTTCTCCGTGGGATGCTGGAGGATTGAGGTTTCTGCTTCCAGATAAGAAAACCCAACTTATCAGGAAGGGACTTGTCTGAGTCACAGGTGTAATGATATGGGGAGGGGGCTGGCCTCAGAGAGTCCTAAAGCCAGAGCACAGGTGCAGGTAAACTGCTGTGTGGGCACTCCTGCTGGATCACTGCATCTCCCTCAAGTCCGGGGGGCCACAGGCAGAGCAGGGCATGGTGGCACAGCTGAGTGTTTTTCTCCCTTTGAAAGCTACGTGGCTCAGAGAAGACTTTTGGCCAGTTTGCGTTGCATCGTGCTGTGTGGGAAAATACAAATATCCCAGCAGTGAATCCCAGCAGCGACCCCATAAAGAAAAGCACCTCTCAGTTTTGTGCTGACGCTGCTGACCCAGATCCAGACAAAACCTCCTCGGATCTATCCAGATGTGAGGTTCTGCAGTGTAAACTCACACCCTGCCATCAGCCCAAAGAGCACTCCCTGCTGTTTGCTCAATGGCTCCAGGTCCCCTTACACAACTTGGAGGTACCTCAGCCCCTGGGCTGGCCCCGGGGGAAGAGGCATGCATGTCTCAGCACACCGGCAGCGCTGTCTTCTGGCCCTGCTCTCTGCCCGTCCCCAAGGAGCCCACCTGCCTCTCGGTCGCAGCTTTCTCCTCTCTGTGTGGCTGAGCCCAGCCTGCCACCCTTTTGCCTGTGCATCCCCCTCCAGCACATGCCAGAGCAGACTGACGTGTCTTTAAAAATATCTCCTATATGGGGAGAAGGACAAGAGATGGAGAGGGATGACTGCCCTTGGTTGGAGGGGGGCAACATCCCCCTCTGCCTCTCCCTGCCTTTCTGATGCTGCCACCACGTCCTGGCCATGCAGCCTCTCCGGGTCGCTGCCTGCCCAGCCCTTGGCACA